TCGGGTCATATCATTGTCTCTCCCTTTTTTAAAAACATTGTCTTCAAGATTCAAATTGCCAATTCATTTTTGCCTACAGTATTCTCTCATATTATTTCTATTTTGGTGGTTTTTTTTTTTTTGTTTTGTTTTGTGGAGAAGGTGGAACCTTCTTCCGAAGCTCCCCTATCAGGAATTTTCTATGGCTAAGATAGCACACTCCACAAGCCACCGCTCAATACCTTCGAAAGCGGTGGCAATTTGCTCGCAAAGAACAATTTCCAAATTTAGATGCGCCTAATGTGCAGCTGACTCACCGCACGTCCAATGAACTTCCTGGTAAGCAACGCGAAGACGAGCTCCATCAGATATTGCATTGGATGCTATGTAAGTTGCTTTTTGCGTGAGTGATTTCGGCTTGTTGCGGTACAATAACGCCTGCCCAGGCCAATTCGGGATGTTGCTGCTATAACCTTTGTGGTTTACTAGTAAGGTGCCTACTAGCCATTTGAGGGTATCTTTAATCTGGTAGAGCTTGTCGGCGAATCTCACTTATATCCGGCTTATATTATTTTACAATTCGACTATGCTGATTTTCAAATTTTCAATCATTTAGTTGTTAATAAGCACAAGTCTGATACTAATATTAGATCCCTAGTCAGAACCCCAAATTAAGAATACTTTCCTACTCATGGCGAGGAAAAAAAATCACACTTTGTTTACTTATTTTTTGCTCTATTTTCTGCAATTGCTTACATACTTAAGTAGAAAAATATAAGATAACTGCTTAGAATTGCTCTGGTTGTGCAATAACTAATATAGTCGTGGGACTTTGCGAAATAATTACTTCGGTTGTGGAAAAATGGCTTAATTGTCAACCTATCCCACGTCTTCGGGTCTTATCATGAGACACTTGTCACATGTCTCTTTTTATCGTCAAGATTTCAATAGGGGATGTAGAAAGACGCAAAAAAAGCATATGTCTTTCTCTTTAAGCTTCATCAGTTATGTTGCACGTCTCCTTCCGGTGAAACTTCGACAAAGATATCTCTCCATAAATATATTTTCTACTACTTATATATTTTACTAGTGATTCTCTCTATACTTCTCACATACTCTTTATCCTCAAGCTTATCTCTCTTGCAAATGCTTCTCTATTCTCCTTATATATTATATTCTTCAACTTACGTTCTGTATTGAGTGCATATTAGATTTCTCCTCAATATTTTTTAGTGAGTACTGAATAAGTGTGCTTTAAATATAAGGTTATTATATTTTATGTAGAGTGAATACCATACTTATTTTTTAGAACGAATTATTATAATGACATGGAAAGATGATGTAACAAAAAATTCTTAC